ATGACAAGCGAAGCAGAAGAGTTGAGGCAACTCTTCGCTGGAAGCGCCACTGAGAGTGAGGATACTCTCAGTGCCAAGACGAAGAAGGAGCGCTTCGAGGAGCAGAGTTGGGACTCACTGAAGTCGAGTCCCTACCACGAGATTCTGCGAGAGCTCAGGGACGTGCTCCCGGGCGAGATCCCTGCGGACCTTCCGGAGGACAAGGGAATACAGCACGATATTGATCTCGTTCCGGGAACGAAGTATTGTGTGACGCGGCAGTGGCCACTGCCGCGGGAGCAAGTGAAGGCAATCGACGACTTCTTCGAAAGTCGTCGCAAGGCAGGACAAGTGCGGGAATCGAAGTCCCCGCACAGCGCACCAACGTTCTGTGTCAAGACGAAGCAGGAACGCTTCAACGAGCAGAGTTGCAAGATTCTGCGAGAGCACATGGATGTACTCTCGGACGGAACTCCCAAAGATGTCATCATCGATTCGATGTCCAAGAGCACCATCTATAGTGCTCTTGATCTGAGAGACGGGTTCTATCAGATCCTAATGCATGAGAGTGATATCCCTCTCACGGCGGTAAGCACTCCAAGCGGTATGCTTTGGGAGTGGCTAGTTATGCCTCAAGGACTGAAGAACGCCCCTGCGACCTTCAATAGATGCGTCACGCATCCATTGAGTTCGGTGCGCGACTTCGCACCGAGCTACTTCGTCGATGTGTACGTTCACAGCCGGGCTGTGAACGAGAAGACGGACGTCGAGATGGACAAGGAACGTCTCCAAGAACTGCTTGGGCTCATGCGCAAGCACAAGCTCTATGCGAACTTGAAGAAGTGCATCTTCAGTGCGAGCGAGATACCCGTGCTAGGGTGTCTCGTTGCGAAGAATGGCGTACGCCCTGACCCCGAGAAGGTCAGAGTGATCAATGAATGGTCTACACCATTCAACGTGACGGAACTGCAGCAGTTCCTTGGCCTTGCCACGTACTTATGCAAGTACGTGGACAACTACGCAGGCAAGATTCGCCCGCTGTCGCAGCTCTTGAAGAAGGAAGCTACGTGGAAATGGACTGCTGAGTGTCAGCAGGCTTTCGATGCAGTCAAGCTGGGCTTGACTGAAGCGTCGATCTTGGCGGTGGCCGACCAAGATTGTCCCTTTCACGTAGTGTGTGACGCATCCGATTTTGCGATC